AAGAGTAAAAACAGAAGCGAAAACAAATAAAAAAAGAAACACAGTAACACAACAATACACATGTTACCCATTTTCAAAACAGGAATAGCTAATTAACAATGATAGTTATATTATCTAGTTTTATCATCAAATCTGTTGCTCAGATTAACAGATGTAATTATGCAAGATTGGACAAATAATTGAATATTTACACTTGATTTCAAGAAATCTTAGTTTTCATTGTCTTTTAAAGATTAATTTCAAAGAGAGTATAATAATTGATGAGACATTAGAAATGTTACTCATTTAGAAGACCAGGATGAAAGGCTTCAACTATGGATTTTGTATTACATGTTGCTGTCCTCGATGTAGTTATTCAGAATGCAGATATCAGCATATAGAGTTAGTCAAAAGAAAATTCTGAACTTATTTACTAGTTTCAAAAAAACTGGTGTAAATTATAGGTACAATCGTCTCAGCCATCCTGTATATATACTCACATGTTCCCCCTCCATTTTTTCCTATTGTTCTTCTTTCTCTCATCTTCATTGTTTAATCCTTACGCTCAATTTCTTTCAGTTTTACTATGTCTATTATAACTTTCAGGGTTCATTTATTCTTTCAGGTTTTTACACTAGGGAGAGAATATGATGTTTACACAAGTGGGTCTGATTTATTTCACTTATAAGTAGAGCCTCTGGTTGCATCCACTTACTTATGAAGGCTTCTAGTTTGTTTTTCTTTATAGCTGAGTAATACTCCATTGTATAAAAATACCACATCTTTTTCATCCATTCCTCAAGTGACGGGCATTTTGGGTGTTTCCAAGATTTGGCTATCACAGCTTGTGCTGCTATAAACATGGGTGCACACATATCACTATGGTGTGATGTAAACTAGACCACAGCTGATCACCACGAATGGTCCCTGTTGGACCCACAGCAGTGGATGCAGACCATGCATGTGGCTGGCCTGCTGCAATATGGGAGTTAAAAATATCACAACTGCTCTTTATGTGAATAGGACTTAGAGGACTTTTCATTGTAATATAAATGTGTGAACTAGATTAAACACTTTTTTCATCATTGCTCTGCAAATACAAAAAACCAAAACGTGCCCCCAGTGGTCATTTGGAGCATCTTTTTATGTTCAGATACTTAGCTTTTGTAAGGGTTGTTGACTTCATGTGGATCACAACTTCTGGATAAGAAGGTTACAGCTATTAAAGTATTCATGTGAACCTTGAAACCAGCTCTACTGCATTTCTACCAGAAATCCTTCAGAAAGTCAGCCATCTGGGTTCTGATCTCCTGTAAAAGGTGAAGATTTAAGTGACCTTAATGAACCTGTCCTGTGCCCTTCTGCAAAGAGTACTCTGTAGTAAGCTGTGGCTGTATTAGACCTTTAGAACACACTGCTTTCAAAAAAACCCTGATGTGTTCAGATCATCTGAATAGATCTGTGATTTATAATTTCAATTTTTATTTATCTGATGTAACTGCAAATTAAATTTACCAAACTTGGGTCCATCAAGTGGGAAAGAGGGTGGGCTGGGAAATAATCTAGTTTCCTTTAGTAGTTTTTTTTCTCTTCTGTATAGTGCTTTTTCTGTGTTCCACATCAAGACCTTTTTTTACTTTGACTTAGAATAAGATCTTTGACAGCATACTGCTTGGCTAAGTCAGCAGAAATATGCTTTCAAATGGTGATTTCTTGTGAATTTGCCAATCCCTAGAGTGAAACCAAATAGCCTTTCATGTAGGTGCAAAGGATGCTGAAGGCTGTACTTCAGGTGCTGCTACAGCCTCCTTTAATCAGATCTAAATTGTGTAGGAAACTGCTCTGGAAAGAGTATTATTTCTGCTCAGGCTAAGACAGTGCTGGCCAGCCTATGGCCTGTGTGCCTCAGCAGGCTGTTTGTTATCATTGAAAGCTCTAAAGGGTTTGCCATCACTGGGCTAAGGGATTCACTGACAGGTGCTACAGATTCAAAGCCACAAAGCTGAACCTCACCTACCACCCATTTCAGTTTCATAGTTCTTACATGATCTTTGATGAGACTCCTTTACATACATGAGCCCAGATTTTTAAGGTATTGTCCATTCTGTAGATGCAGTGATTGTCCCCGATAGCTCTGTTGCCAGGCTTTTGGTGCGTCTTCATAGTGTTCATTTAGAAAGGCTAAAGGTACAGATGTAGCATGCTTGCTTTTAGTGACTGCAGATTGTACTCTGTCCAGTACTGTATAGTAGTCTTTACGAGGGACTTGAGGCAGTTCCCCAGGATTACTGAATTTTTTCCACCTAATAAAGACAGCCTAGCAGTTTTTCCTTAGTCTAGTATCTTTGGTTCAGTCGAAATATTTTATAGTGGTAGTGAACTCTTGATGCAGAGTCTGTGCTTCTCTGTAATAAATCCCTTTGCCAAATGCAGGAGTTGCAGACTTGCTACTGGCAAGAGTAAAGCACGTGGGTAAGTAAGCCTGTCCTGGTGCTGGGCATGTTTCAATAGGATCTGAGTCTTGCGCACATGTCGGGGCAGGAATGAAAGTCCAAGGAAGATGGTATGCAGTGTCTCCAGACCCTCTGCTGGCCCCTGGTGTGCAGTGATGTTGACATTTGACGTGGTCAATGTTCCTGCCTGTTGGTGTATAGAGTGAAAGGCTGAACCAGCCCAGGGCATTTGGATGATTAAGGGAGTAGTAAGAGATTATTGTTAAGCTGAAGACTTCATTTGGGGACCAGAAGCAAGGAATCTCTTGGATCTTCCTATATTTCTTGAAAATTATACATTTTACTTCAAAATTTTGTCAGGGGTCATGTCATTGAGAGGTGAAGTGAGATGAATGTGAAGTTTTATTTAATGGGGCACTGTACTGGAAAGCTGAAGACCAGGAGCAGATTTAAATTCCAGCTCTTGGTATAATTTTTTAAAAGATTGTGAAATTTAAAAAATGCACATGAATCAAGTTCTAATATATTGTATGAAGGGTGGATGAGGCAGTCCATTGTACCATCTCCTTCCTTAGATTCTCAGGCTTGGTTCGGCAGTGCCAGAACTCTGTGCCATTATCAGATTCAATAAAAAGAAACCGCTATAAAAATGAAGATTTTATTCTAACTCTTTCCCAATTGTTACTACCTGTACTGCCTATCTGAGGAAACCATGTATTATATTTGGTTACTTCTTATCACATGAGTTCCTTATTAAGTAAACCTTGGAGCAGCTGTATGTGCCATTTCTCCTCAGCTGAAAAGTTTTCATCCATTTAATCTCGGATAAAGGATCTTGGCACAGTGGAAAGTCTTAGCTCTACTCCTTGTGGAATGATTCCTTCTTTTCCTCGTTTCTTCAGCCACTCATTGTGAAGTTTTTATCTTGTGATGGCCTTCTTCATCTCTCACATAGTCCACTCTACATAGACTTACTCATTTGGAATTAAAAGTTTTTAATGTAAGGATTATAAATCCCTGGTCTGAGCACCAAGTATTGGGTTAATAACCTCTTAGTTGTTTCTGGCTGATCAGGCCCACACTCTTCCAAATGTGTGACATTGAAATCAAATGAATGAGACAAATGGTGTGATGTTAGGGTTCCTGGGGTATTCCAATCATCTTACAATTATTTTCTTGCATTTATAATAAATAACTTCTCTGAATAGCCTGCATTTATTATCTTTCAAGCCAAGCAGGGGATAATGAAGAAAATGCAAGAATCTAGGGAAGACTCGTAAATCCTTGAATCCTCCATGAGTCCTGCTAAAGTCTTAGAACACACCACAATACCTTGTGCAAGTGTGCTATTAAGACATACACTAGGACATCCCAAATGTGCAAGGTCCAAGTTTTGTGCCTGAGGAATGAAAAATCTGTACCACTAGGCTGAGAGATCTTCACTGGAGTCAGGAAACAAAAAGGTAAAAACGAGAGCTCTGCCAAGGAGAGATGCATCCACCCTCAGTTGGGTGAAGACATAAACTTCTCCTACGAAGAGAATACCTCGGTTCACATCAGGAAAACCGGTGGGATGAACTTCTCCAGGAAAATGAGCAGCATACTATCTTCCCCTCCAGTTCTCCTTTCATCCTGTCAGCAAGAATACTCAGGCAAACCTTTCATGACCAGAACCATTCCAACTCAGTTCACCTTGGCATTACAAGTTTATCAGTGGTTAATGCACCACATTAATGAATTAGTGGAACTTATGGGTAGAGTTTAAAACCTTTATATGTCAAATAAATGTTAAAAGGGGACACACAAAATAGGAGAGTTATAAAGCAGGGATAGATAGGAGAACATGAGTACACAGCCTAGTGGAAAACTCCAAGATGCCTCTGCTCCTTCTTAGATGTAAAGTTGGAAAAAGTAGGCCTTCTTTTATGTGCGGCTCTTTGCCAAGATAGATATGAGTTTACTGAACTGATATTTCGTTTTCCTGAATATTTCTATAGTCTTCCTGGACCAATAGTTACTAATTTAATATATAGAGAGAAAATGATAATCTTAGAAGCAAGCAACCTTTGGAAACAGATCATCCTCAAGAACATACATTCTGGCTATTATGGTTTATATCTGTATATACTTAGGAAAGCCTCAAGGGGCTTGTCAGGATTTTCAGAGGTGCCTTCATGTAGGGTGTGTCCTTCGGGGTTCAAGGATGTAACACTGGGGTTCATTCATGATGTGATGTTAGGATAAAAGCTGCCACACCATGTGTGTGAATGCTCCTTGCTCTAAGGGTGGGTAGTCAGGTAAAAGACAGAAAGAGGGACTCTTCTTGATGCCTGTCGTATTTTGCATGCTCCTTCATGCCTTTGCTTGCCCAGTTTTCCCATGGGCAGTTCCTCATATGCAGCGCACCTTTGCCGTGTCACCCTGCTTAGCAGCCAGCCAACTGCGAACCAAGCCATGTAAAAACAGGAAGCTAAACATACCATTACTATTTTTAATTTTGTACAGTGAGATGTTGCCTCAGCCACAAGAAAATAACCAAGGTAATGACATTTATATTCCATGATCACTTTACAGAAGTTGTTCACTTTTGGGCAGCAGGCAAAACAGCCTGTAGAAATGTGGGTCCCTGCTGATGAGCACAAATGGGCTTAAACAGGAGAAGCTGGTAGCTAAGAGTGCACTGATGTTCACCAGCCATGGACTGGGTCGGTCAACGTGAGACAAATAAAAGATGAAGAATGAAGATAGGGAGTATAGAGAGAAAAATGTGATTAGCAGAATGAAGATGGTCTGGGAAGCTCTGGTCTCAGCAGAGAATCTGGAAGAGAGGTTCTTGCTGCGGACGTGTAGGACATTCTGCTTGTGTCTGAGCAAGATGAGCATCACGAAGATGCTGGCCCACACCATGAACGCCAAAGACAGCACATCAACGGAAGCCAGCACCACAGAGTGCAATAAGGATTCTGTTTTCTCACCAATTATACTGGAGCAGCACCCCAGGAGTCTGTATTGGGTATGGTTGTTGCTTGCCTTTGTACATGTAATGTACTTAGGAAAAGCACTATTTACCAGCATGTGAAGAACCCAGCAGAAGATAATGGAACACGCCATGTACTTGGGGTCTTTGGCCTTGAGTTTCACCCATTGGTGATGGCTAGGGCTGATTGTGATGGCCTGGAAGCCACTCAAGATACAGGTAGTACCAAGAGTCACACCCCTGGCTGCCCTGTGAAGGTAGATGATGAATTTGCATACAACATCCCCCATAGAATATTGCAGCCCCAACACTACTATTGTGTGAGGAATTCCTCTGGAGAGAAGAACCAACCAGTTGGCCAAAATCAAGTTTTTGAGAATCAAATCCAGGTGTTTTAGCTTTCGTTCAGGGTGGGGAATGAAGATGTGAGCAAAATATTTCCCAGAATTCCAACTCCTGTCTGAGCCACAAAGATGATTCTGATTGCCAGCCATGGGGCGACATTCAGTTATGAGAATAATAATTTCATCCGAAGTCAACAAATCTTGTTGGGACTGTTCCAGGTTGTTTCCTCAAAGCAGTTTTAATTCATTATGTACTATGATTTTTTCTCACTCCTGCATTTATTCCTTGTATTTGTTTCAAGATTCAACTAGAACAGTACATATTTTGTTGTTAGTTTCTGTTTTTAATGCTTTATTGGTGCCTATGTTGTCCTTACATAGTGTGGTATTATTGTTTTATTTCCATTAAATTATGCATCTCCACAGTCTTTCAGGCAAATATTCCTTACATGACTAATTACTCAGTTAGTGTACCATTTATATGAACTTAGGAATCTGTATTTCTACAAGGATTACCTTTTTTATAATTCAAAAGTAGAAATAAATTATATAGCTAAGTTTTTGTATTTAATGTAAATCAGGTTCCATATGAGCATGATGAATTTGAAGAGTCATTTTTATTTCATTTTGGAGCAAATATGCAAAGATATCACAGTGGTTATATTAAAACAAAACCTAATCAAAGCTACTACGGCATAGGAATAAAAGTAGAAAACTTTTTTTTTGTCTTTTTGAGACAGAGTATCATTATGCAGTTCATTCTGGCCCTAAGCTCATTTTGTAGCCCAGTCTGGTGTCACACTTCCAATGACACTCTTGCCTCTACCTAACTTGCTGGAATTGCAGGTGTGCACCACCATTCCTGGCAGAAAATGCTTTACATAAAAAAGTACATTATGTGAACTAAGCTACTGCACTGCAGATGGTAATTTGTAACAGTAGTTTCATATTTGGAGTGCCTGTCATTCTGGTAGTCTGAATATGGGCGGCTTGTCATGACATGCCATTTACTGCT